TCTGTTTCCTTTCTTAAGAAATAAAATTTATTAATCTTGTTCTCAGAATTTGAATATTTTAGTTCAAATCAACTTAATTCTTTCTCATATCTTCTCCACTTTTCCTTTGTCTATTAGATTATATAGAACATTACGTCTAATAGTAATAATCGTTTTATTTTTATTTTATTTTTTACTTAATAAATCCGATTGTGTAAATGTTTATAATAAAATAAAATAAAATAAAATTCAAATTTAGGGATAATGTGAACACGAACGATAATTTAGGCATATTTAGAAAGTAGCCGAAAGACCAAAATCGTCGATTTCTTAAATTGTTCTTCGTAATTTAATGACCACATTTCTAGAAAATTTTCATGAATTTATGGGATTTTATACTTGATTGTAATGGTGGCCTTGTTATTCTGACTGCGTACTTTAATTTGCTACGTGTCAAAAACGCAGCAAATAGTAGTATTCAACAAAATAAATAATTTTAAATCAATTTAAATGGAAATATTGAACCATTTATTAAGTAAACGTAACTATAAGTGAAACAACTAAAACAATCAATACTATCAATATAAGGGTGGCGACTAGGTGTCATCAAATACAAAATATTTGCAAATGAAACGAAATTTAAAAAGGACAATTATTTTACATTTAGAAATAAAACAATTTGGAAACGAAACTTTAAACGGAAACATAAACTAAAAATAACATTAATTAAGATTGCATCTATTAATTTTTTTTTTTTTTTTTTTTTTTTTGACAGATGCATCGAGATACAAAAAATGAAAAAACATGAATATTATTGATACATATACATTATGAGTTGTGAAAATTATTAAAAAACTAGAATAATGAAATCGCTAAGGACTAGGAGTTAAATATGCAATTTCATAATCGGTTCGGTTAATCTGACGTAAAGCTGAACGACAATACGAATCATTAAATTAACCGAACCGTGTTTAAGAAAAAGTTTTTTCTTTTTAATAATATATAGATGTTCATGGCGAACATGAATATCGATTGATATATATATATGATTAAAAACGACGAAGATAAAAAATAAAAAATTCGTAAAAATGTAGCGACATTGGGAATTTTAACCGGCAAGGTAAAAAATTAAACAAACGGCGACGTGTGGATGGGTAGGTGAATAAATTTAGGCGTAGTAATATAAAAAAAAATAGTAGTAGTAAGCATTTATTTATAATTAGGGGAGCCTAGGTAACCAAAAAAAATTTATCAAAACATTCTTATGTGGATTATGTTAGGAAATAGGAAATAGCGAAATTTAATTATTAGTTATTGGATAGTGTTTTACGGAATAATTAAGTCATGTTCATATATAACTTTCGAAGAAAGTTAATTTTTTTTTTTTTTTTTTTGTTTTTTTATAATTTTTTTTTTGTAGTTTTTTATTTCTACATCTTGAATTTTATTCGCTTTAATTTTCAAAAAGCGTTGGTATGAAGAAAAATTCCTTCGGAGATATCCTTATATTTATAAATAAATAAATAAAAAAAAAAAAAAAAAAAAAAAAAAAAAAAAAATAATCTCGTTTCTTCACCTATGGATTGTTCAGGAAAAAAAAATTTTTTTTCACCAAGATTGAAGTATTAACGGGTGATACTACATATGTTTACTACTTTACTCATCATATCCTGAGAATTTTTTTGTTTCGTAAAGAAAGAAAACCTGTTGGGATTATTTCATCCATCCTGATACTTCAGGAGACCTCCTGAAATTACTTAATATTAAATTTTTTTTTTTATTGTTTATTATTTTATTCTTACCATTCAAAACCTAAATCATTATCAAACTTTATCGGTTATCAATTTGATAGAGAATTACCAAAGTTTGCCATACTTTATTGCGCTTTAGAAATTTACGTAATATTCGGTTCCCATGAAATTTCAATGTCTCGTTAAAGTTATATTTCTTCGGAAATATGCAAAAGAAAACATTCCGAGTCATTTTTCGTTAATCTTGTATGAACCCAAAAAAAGTCTTTTTTTTTTTCTTTGCATTTTGTTTTCTTTTATATGTTGTAACACTTCCTATATTTGTGATATTGTGATATGCCATAAAAAGTATCTTACGTGAGTTAAGTGTAATCGGTGTAATTAATTTATTGCATACTTTCATGCACCCACAGAAGAAGGTTTAGGAGAAAATCGTAAATAGAAATATCTTTTTTTGTTATTTGTATGATAAGTAATTTGTTTGCAGTGGTTTTTAAATGCTGCATGTAAATTATAAACAACTTTACATTTTTTTTTTGTTTTTTTTTTAATGCGCAAACTCTTCTAAAAAAAGCTGCGTCACTATTTGATTGTGTGATATTCTGGGGTCCCAAGATACTACAATTTAACAAGAGTACTTGGGTATTTTAAATAACACCAAGGTTTTTTTTATCTTGACTTTAAATTCTTGACTTTACTGAAATTGGAAGAGTGCAGAAAGTTATTAGAATAAAGTCATTCGATATTCAGGGTTCATTTTGTTGAAGGTTTTTATTGATTTGAGAAAATTTTGGGATTCCGGCTATAATATTTCTAAAATGTTATAAATGGTAATCAACAATCAATAATTATGGTAGATAAATTGGGCTAGTTTTCATTATCGATTATTTAAAACTTTCAACCCCTTGCATAATGAATCTACTTCGTTGGGGTTATTGTTTTTAAAAAAAATAATATATATATACTGCGGAAAACGGCCATTCAAATTTTCGAAATTAAAATTTAATCTCTTGGCGTATCCATCAAATCCTTTATTAGAACGTTCATAATTTAAATAACATGTACACGACATATAACAACATATAGCACAATCTTTGTACAAATTTGTTCGAATAATGTTAACTTTAAAACTTATGAACAATTATTTGATGAATCTTGTGTCTCTTTGTGGATCCCCTTCAATAGCCAATTTGTATAGGATGAACGTTGTGCATCTGATTGACTCAATTTATATACATGTTATCGAATTTTTCACGTTACACGGTTCAATTATCAGGAGGATTAGTCTATAAAAAAAATTTTGTAAATCGCAATCGCATACACTCGTGATTAAAAAATTCAAAACCCGTAATGTGGCAAAATTTTTAGATTTTTGTATTTGTGCACATTTTCATAAATCACTGACACGTTAATTTAACCTGAGAAGATTCCAACTCGCCTCAGATGCACAAAAAAAAATCGCATCATATTCACATTAGGCAATATTCAAAATTTCAATCCGTCAAAGCTTCATCAATAAGTTCGGATTTTGAATTTCCGGTAAGTTTTAAACGAAGAATGGTACTGCGCATTTTTTGATGTTCGATCTTAAAACAATCCTTCATAGCAAATTACCCTAATAGATAATGTCACGTTCAACAACCTCCTGGGAATGAGTTTTTCAATCAATTTAACTATGCAAATTCGCACGGATAAATATTATTCGTTTCATTCAATAATCAAAGAATGATCCTGTATGCAATTGATGCAAAATTTCCATTATCTTTTTACTCTGGAAAATGCTGTCGCTATTATTGGTTACCTCTTATTCCGAATGGAGTTACAATACTTACCACCATACAACGTACAAATACAATCTCTTTTAACATAATGGTATACAGATTCGAATTTTTTTTTCCTTAACACATAATAGGATATATATACTGTTACTAGTATTAGGTACATTCACTATTATGGCCTTATTCTTCTATATTACTCATAGGTTTTAAATCATTGTTGTGAGCAAATATATATAAATGCTCGGTTTAATTTATTCTGTCTAATAAAATAATGAAATACATAGTCATAAACTATCCTCCAACAGTTTTTACGACTTTAAAAAGTTGAGTAATAAAATAGTGAAAGGTATATATGTTTTATATACGATTTTACCGAGTTTGAGACTCGTAACTTACAAGATATTTTCAATGATCGTAGAAAATAATTTTATTATTATAATTCTTAACAAATCAAGTGTTCGTTGTTGTGATTTCATATTATCAAAGGTACATGAATCGATGAGTCAAGCTTACCATAATAAATACCGGCGGATAAATTAGTTAAGAAAGCTCACACAAAAGGTAGGTTCTTGGAACGTCAAGATCCAAAGGTCAAACCTGAATAAGTGTCGTATCTATATATCGAAATTACTGATATGCAATAAATATCAATTGGTTACCGCATACAACTGAAAAAAGTATTTTTTGTAGTCCACTGGTAACACGTCCAAAAAAAAGGAACGTAAATTCTGAATGGAATGTTTAGAAGTATTTCAGGATTCTTGAACGAATGTGAATTTGTACCTTTTGATAAGAAGATATCATATTATAATCGGTGTCTTGAAAATACAGCTATCAAGAACCACAATATTTGATTTATTTGATTTTTGACGTACCAAATCATCCGCCAAAAAAGCCAATCCCTTAGAATCTATGCGATTTTCTTGCATATGCAATTCCTTCAGGACATACCAAACTAAGGATCATCAGTGTAGACCACTAGCTTCGATTAACGACATAAAGCCTACGCAATTTACTGAATATTACTCTTTATTATAGGAAAATAAAGGATAGTGTAATACTATTTTAGATAAATAATTAAATAAATTTACTAATTTAAAACTTAATAAAGATTTAGCAACCCGTAATTTGTTTCCAGTTTTGCTTAACAATTCTATGCACCCGCTTTCGCATTCGCAACTAGCTCCTTTTTGTTCATTAAAAAACGGCATTGAAGGACTAATTTGTGGCCAATATTCAAATCTTCATAAACTCGCAACATTACTCCAATCAAACATGTTTGATATGAATTAAAGCAAAGTTATAGAACGACATACACCAGGACCTGTAAGAAAATAAACAATAATAGATAAAAGACCTACACCACTAATTAACTCAAAAAAAAAGAAGCGATGAAATGAATTATTCACAAGCAAACCTGTGGCATATTATGTTCATTGTCTAAGATAATTATTAGTAATACAAGATTAATCAAACCAAAAATAAAGTTCAACTATTGCCATACATCGTCTTCAATCTCGCATCTTTCCATTATTAACTGTTGCAAAGTGAGAATGTCCGCAATCTTATTGTCAATAATATAACCAGCTAAGTCAATGACATTTAATGAACCTCCTGGCTGGCTTGCTTTCTAATTGTATAAAAATGATTGAATGTCAATTCAAAATATTACATGGAATTTCTTAAAAATAAATAATTACGTACTCAACTAAACGGTCAGCAGGGAATTCCTCTCGGTTTCTACAAGCAGCCAAATAAAATTTCATCATATCTCTAGGAGTATAAACATTTTTTTTTCTGCTTCAGGTTGCGTTTGACTTATCTTTTTCTTTTCTCATTTCATTCCAGAAAACATATATATCTTCTCAATCAATATTATCACTGTCACCAGGAATGTGTGACAAGGGTTTTGTTACCTTCTGAAACAAATATACTCAAAAGGAATCGAAAAAGTAGTGGTTACCTGAAAGGAACGCTTGTGCCGCTTTGAAACTGAACTTGTGGAGTGCTTTTTTTTTTAAAAAAAAAAAGACATAAACTTATAGTAAACTGTACAGATGTTTGTATTAATAATAGAGAAGTTAACTTATCAGACTGACTTGCAATTATCACAGTGTTTTGTGACGCGAGATAATGAATTACGTTCTGCTACCGATCACAAGAGGAGAAGATATGCTACCCAAGAAGAATTTCAATAAGAAAAGAAAGAAACTTTAGCAGTAAGATACAACACATTTACCTTTATCACATTCAACAGGAACGGCTGAAACTAAGAAAATGAATAGGAATAGCATAATAGACGTACCAAAATAAGAAAGATTTACCGATATCAAAATTCACCAGGCACTTAAAATAGAAAATCATCAGAAAATAATTCTTTCAAATTAAATTTTTTATTTTATTAAGTAAAGATGTGAGTTATAATGAAATATATATATGTTAAAGTTTTATAAATATCCAATCAATAGTAAAATTTATATTATATATTTAATACATTTTTATTTATTAATACAAGATTTTGATTATAATAAAACATTGAATTTTTTAGCTATAACCTATTATATTTTATTAATTAAACTTATTAATCATATTAAAATAATTTTTTTTAAAAAATTTTAAATTAATTGCATTTATATTGAATTGATATAATGAAGTTAGTTATAAATAAGATTATTAAATGAAATTTAGAAGTTTATAAATTATCTACAGTTGAATCTGAATATAATGAACCTGTCATTTTAAAAAATTTAGTTTAGTATAAAGTGAGTTTACTATATGATAATCATATTTTATAACAAGCTATTCAGTATATAAAATTGACTAATAAAAATACAGATACATGATCAATTCTAATAATAAAATTTATTTAAAAGTTGATATTATTATGTAAGACTAACATTAGTTTATAAAACAGTATTTTATATAAAAGATTATCATATTAATAAAATAATAGTGTAATATTTTCAATTATATGCTAAAATTTAAATCATATTATATTTATATAACTTAATATACATGTTCAATTAAGATTAGTTCAGATATGATATATAATATTTTATATATTAATTTATTATATCTAACCTGATTAATTATAAAAAAATCAGTTCTGTAAATATAGTTTAGTATAATAAGATTTTGGTATAAGTAGGTTTATTATATCTAGAGTTAACTATAAATAATAAAAAATAAAATTTAGCAAATTATATTAAAATGTTATTAAAAATCTGCAAAACTCAAAAAAAAGTAAAATTACAATATATTGCAAAAAAAATAGTAGTCAATAAAACAATTTATTTTAAGATTTTATTTCTATTTTATTAAGATTGATTCATATTAAGTTTTTATAAAGAAAAATAAATTTTTAAGAAATTGTTTCAATTCTTCAATTAAAATCTAATTAATATATTAATATTTTATAACATTTTTTTAATATTATTTCTTATAATTTATTATTAGAGTTTCAAATAAGTTAATTTAGATTAGATCAATTAAGTTATCTGAATTAAGAAAATCATATTAGGTTAAATAAAATTCAATCTGATTTAATTTTTATTTGACTTGATCTGATTTAACCAAATTATTCAAAAAAAATGATTTATTATTTTTCTAATTAAATGGTTAGTTATAATTCAAAAAGAATGATTTATTATTATTCTAATTAAATAATTAATATTATTTTAATTAAATAATTAGTTATTTTTAATTAAACAATTAGTTATTATTTTAATTAAATGATTAGTTATTATTTAAGAAGAATAATTAGTTAACTAAATTTTGTCAAATCAGATAATAGATTAACCTAAGTTAATATTAATCTAAAAAATTTACTGATCTGATCTAAAATTTTTAAGTTAGGTTAAGTTAGAAAAATAGAATAATCTTATCTAATTTAAAATTTTATTTTACTATAAATATTTAATAGAATTTAAATTTAAACTGTTAAATATTTAATTAATTATACAAATCTTATTTTTAGTAATAAAATCTTAGTAATAATGATATATGCTTTAAATTATTATCTTATTATAAATATTAATTACTTCTAATATACTTTTTATAGTAAATAAAAATCAGATTTATAATATATTTACATAAAAATATTTATCTATAATATTTATAAAAAAAAAGAAAATTACAAATAGTTATGAACTTTCACATAAAATATATTTTCATTTTATGAAAATATTTTACTATATTATTATTTTATAATAGCTTTTTAATAATTGCTAATAGGTTTATTATTATTTTATATCATTAATTAAAATAAATTAAATGCAGCTTTATTAGTAAAAATTATTTGATTTTAATTATAATTTAAATAAGTTTATACTTATAATTTCTTATTTTAATATGCTAATTTATAAGTATTGACATTATTAAAGATATAAAACTGCTATATATTTTTTTTTTATTTCTTTAAATATTAGTATAGCATATAGAAATATTTTAATATTTTTTATTTTATTTATAGTTAATAAGAAGAAATAATATTATTACAATATTTATTTTATTTAATAATATAAGAGATTTCTTATATAATTTTTATTAATGACTATTTTTTTTACTTATATTTAATATTACTATTTTTTTTAATATTTTAAATTTTCAATAGTGAAGAGAAATATAGAAGACAGTCAGTAAAAAAAAAGGAAATCTACATTTTAGTCAAAATTTTTTTTATTAGTTTCTCTACTGATTATAATCATGTAAACAAAACTAACTTAATAACTAAAATTACTTAAAATTTGTAGATTTCTTCTTTTTCTATTGACTACCCCTATATATATATTTTCTTAACTAAACAAATATTAATACTCTATAATAATTAACTTTTATTATAACAAATTATTTATTTAAATTGATCAAATATTTATTATAAGAAAATTTACTATTATTATAATAAATTATTTAGTATATATAACTATAATGATAATATTACTTAATTAGACTAATTATAATAATATAGATAATCATATAATAATAAATTAAAAAATTTTTTTTCATCTTTTTTTTTTTTATAAATTTATTTATTTTTTTATTTATTAAAATTTTTAATTTTGAATTTGTAAATTATGAATGGCCAGAATCTTTTAAAAGTTAAGCAAAGAAGTGTTAATAAATAATCTATTTATAGTCTACCTTTAATATAGTGAATTTTGATATAATAAACTATATGATATTTGATCAATTAAATATATCAATTTTCTCTCTCTATAATGAAGTAACCAATCAAATTCTTCAAATTCTTCACTAATTTGCTATATTAAAGTTAAAATATAGAATAGCTACTTTACTATATATTAAGTGTAGACTGTAGATATTTAGTAAATAACTTTTTTAAATACTTAATAAGTGATCTATTCAAATACTAGTAAATAATTCTTTCAAATACATAAGTAATTTATTTAAAAATTTAGTAAATGATTTTATATTTTTTTCAAATTTTATTTTTTATTTATTTTTTTTTTTTTAAAACTGTTTTCTTTAGATTTTAAAAATTAACCAGTAAGTTAATTCTCTTTTTTGAAATAGATGATTTCTCTGATAATATTTACTAATATTCTTTTCTTTTTTTTTAGGAAAAGTTCTTCTTTAAATCTTAAAAATTAACTGATAAGTTTATTTTTTTCTTTTTAAAAATAAGTAAGCTTTTTTAAAATATTTAATAAAATTCTTTTCTTCTTATCCTTTTTTAAATTTTAAAAACTAACTAATAATTAATTCTCTTCTAAATTTCTTTAAAAATATTTATTACTATTTTTTTCTTATTTTTAGGATTAATCCTTCTTTAAATCTTAAAATCAATTTATCAGTTAATATTTCTTCAAATAAGTGAACTTCTTTAAAAATATTTATTAATGTTTTTTTATTTTTATTTTTAGAATTAATTCTTCTTTAAGATCTTAAAAATTAACCAATAAGTTGAATTTCTTTTTCTTGAAATAAGTAAACTTTTTTAAAATATTTACTAACATTCTTTTTTATTTTCTTTTATAGAACTAGTTTTCTTTAAAAACTTTTAAATCTTTATTGTATCAAAAAAAAATTCATTATAAATAAATTTATTAAAAAATAATTTATTTTATAATGTGTTTTATAAAATTTTTTTGTATATCATTATATAACTTTAATATAAAAAAATCTATACTATATCAAAATTTTATTATATTATGAAATTTGTTATATTAAAATTTATTATATTAAAATTTATTATATTAAGAGTTAACTGGTCATATGAATTTGTTTTAGTTACGATTACGTTAAAACTGACAGAAACTGACAGACCTGTCAAATATGACATATATGCCAAATATACCATATTTGCTAAATGGGACATACATATTATTTATTATATTTATATTATTTATATCATTATTATCATTTATAACATATTTAATATAATTAGCATATCTGTTAGCTCTGTTATTATTGTCA